GGATGGCTGGTGACCACTCATTAGAATAATATCTTCTAATATTTATCTCAAAAACATGTACTAGTTTATGATTTGTTTCTGAGATTGGAGGGATGTTAATCTGAGTATTCCATTGTTGTAACAAGTCTCGACCCCACAGGTTCATAGCTATGCTAGCCACATATGGTTTTAATTTTCCCCTCTGTCCTTCTGGACCTATACATTTGAGCCATCTTGCACTCTGTTTTACTCTAGATAATATCCCAATTCCTAAAAGTTGAATGTTTACCTCCTGAAGAAGCCAAGTTGGATGCCAAAATTCTGGTGCAATTATGATAACGTCCGCACCTGTGTCTACCAGACCAGACAACAAAACAGCATGTATTTTTATTGTTAATTTTGGTCTTTGTTCATTAATAGAAGTTTGCCAAAATTTTTTCTTTATGTTTTTTCCTGAATTTTCTATTCTCTCTGTTTCATCATCCCGACCAGCATGATTTATTCCAATAGGCATTTGGTTATTTAGTTGCTTTGAGTAGGGGTTTCCTCTATAACTGCAGGAAAGGTTTGAACTGAATTTACTGTGGGGGCCTGCGTGAGGCCCCTCTGGGAATTTCCTGAAGCATGAGCCAAAGGGTTACCCTGTCTGTCCCTTGTTGATCTACATTCGTTGGTCCAGTGTTTTCCCTTACCACACCTGCATACTCCAGAAGGAAAGGGCATTCTGTTGCCAGTGTTCCTTGAAGAAACATTGTTTCTAGGAATGACCTGTTTATAGCCCCTTTTCAAATATCCTTGCTTTCCACATCTAAAACATCTAACATTTCTCAAACCTTTCGAAATTGCTTCTCGTTTACAGTCCCTTTTCAAATGTCCTTGCTTTCCACATCCAAAACATCTAACATTTCTCAAACCTTTTGAAATTGCTTCTCCTACCTACCTATCATCATGCTCATGAGCCTCAACATTAACTGTGTCTCTAATCCAATCTTCCAAGGGTGCAGATCTTGCCTTTAATGGCCTGATTATTCTTTTACATGCTGCATTTGCATTCTCAAAGGCCAATGATTCATTTATTATCTAACTGGCTTCTGAATTTAGGACCATTCTCTTTACTGCCGAAGTCAATCTTTGTAAGAATCTGTGAAAGATTCTTTTGGGCCCTGTACAACCTTTGTAAATGACTCAGTTTTTTTTCTTGGTTCCTCAACTCTGTCCCATGCATTGAAGGTTGCTGTTTGACATAGAATTAGGGTTTGGACATCATATAAACATTGTGCTTGTACTGAAGCATATTGGCCTTCTCCAATAAGCTGATCCTGGCAGACTTGTATTCCTTTATCCCTCCATTTTTTTATGTATTTTTAGCCTCATTCTTGAACCACATTTTCCACTGGAGATTTTGTCCGGGTTCTAGAACAGCCTGTGCCAGCTCCTGCCAGTCCTGTGGTAGAACCCTATTATAAGTTGACCAGGTGATTAACTTGCCACCACACTTAGCAATTATAATAGTGCAGAAATCTACTAAAGTTGTTTTTCAAAAATCACATGTGTAATCAGATGGTTCTGTCCTGCCCATCAGTTCCTGAATAACCACTCAGAGGCTTATATTCATTATAAATGTTTGGCCAATGGCACAGGCTTATTACTAGCTAGCTCTTACATTTAAATTAATTCATATTTCTTATCTATGCTTTGTCACATGGTTTATGGCTTGTTAACTCACATGTATTGCTTCCTCAGTGGCTGGCTGGCTTCTGCCCTGACTCCACCCTTCTTTATCTCCATCTTCAGTTTCATTGCACTGCCTAAACTTATTCTGCCTGGCCAATGACCAAAACAGCTTTATTATCAACCAACAAGAGCAACACATATTCATAGCATACAGAAGGATATCCCATAGTACACATGCAGTTTCTTCTTTTCTCCTTTTTTCTTTTTTTTGTTCTCTGTGGTCTCACTGCTTTGCAGTTCTCTGTTGTTATAGTAGAGTTCTCCACATAAACATAACCAATAGGATACATTTAGATATGTAAGAGTAGGTTGCATATTTGCCCTGCCTGAAGATGAAGTCCAAGAAGCCCTCTGGTCTGCCACCTATGAGTTGGACAACAGAGGACCTCATGGTGTGACTCTTAGTTCAAGTTTTCCGGCTCTAGAACTGGGTGGACATGGTATGGTGGATGATGTTAGAAGTACTGGAGTAGTTCTGAAGACCTGAGAAGTAAATGTTCTCTCTCTCTCTCTCTCTCTCTCTCTCTCTCTCTCTCTGTTGGAGAGGTTGATACTGGAAGACAGTGGCTGACACTGGGTGTCTTCTTCAATTGCTCTTTACCTTATTTTTGGAGACCAGAGTCTCTCTCCGAGTCTGAGCTCAGTTATTCCGCTAGACTGGCTGACCATCAAGCTCCAGGCATCTTCCCATCTCTGCTTCCCCAGCATTGGATTACAGGTGTATGTATGCTTCTGTACCTAGCTTTTCCCATAGATTCTGGGGTCTTCATGTTTGTACAGAAAGCACTTATTTAACTGAACCATACTCCTAGCCCAAAGCTCTGAATGCTGAGAACAACTGATAGATGTCCCAGCTCAAGGGGGTGGGGAGAGACAAGAGAGACAGAGACAGACATACAAACACACACGGGGGGAGAGATAGACACAGATATACATGCGTGCGTGCGCGTGTGCATGCGCACGCACAAACACACATGCACACGCGCGCACACACACACACAATTTATTGTCTTTTCTGTTCTATTTATTGATTTGGAAGAACACATTCACACCAATGAAAGTGAATCCCTTACTCAGTTAACCCACCGATTCAAATGCTAACCTGTTCCTCCTATCCCCACCTGAATACCCTCATACTCACACTAAGGCATGATATTTCCACAGCTGTCCAGATCTCTTTTAATTTAGTCAAATTGATGGGTAGAATGAGCCTTCACAGATGATTTATAATGCTTGACTTTTTATTTTAGCTAATAATTTTCTTAATGTTATCAGTAAGAGTTCTGAACTGATACAAACATTCTTCTCTATCTGGAGGCAAATGTCCCTCTGCCTCCCCATCCCCACTACAGACTGTTTCCTTTAGTCCTTAGTCTTCCCACACTTTTTAGTTTCTGTGGACTGGAAAGGATGAAGGAAGCATTCTGTGCTGTTTGTCAGACTGCTGTCCCGCCTAGGGCCTACAAACAGCACATTTCTGTTCATGCTTCTGTGGATTCCCCAGGGCTGGCTCAGCAGATTTCAGTGTTTATTTTCCAAACTGTAAATGCGCTCTCTATTCAATGGGGTGCTAAAAATAGTGTGGTGATAATTTTGGCTCTTCTAATATTGGTGTGGTTGTAAGTAAATTGGTTGCAAAACGTGAGTTTTGCAACTCTGTGGGTTTGGTGTCCCGGGTTTCAGCACCAAAAACATAGGTAAACTGGTTGTAGCAACTCTGGGGAAAGGTGTCCTGACTACCTGGGGAGTCAGGGAACACCTTGAGCTGGAGGGCGAGGTATCCTGGACACCTTGAACTGCTCAGAACAACAACTCTGCCCTGAAGGTGTCCCGGACACCTGGAGCTGTTTAGCACAGCTGTGACAGCTGGAACTGCAAAGAAGCAGTCCAAACCCAGAAGGAAAAATTTTCTGATTTCTCCAGAGAGTCAAGCCTGGAACTGCTTCAGCAGGAAAGTGTATCCTGACTCCTCAGGAAAGTCAAGGTATAGCTGGTGTGATGGGGGATGGTCTCCTGGCAGGACACAGCAATCCTGCTCCTTTCCTGGAGAGCCTCTACAGCTGAGCTTTGCTGGGCTTCCTTGCAGAGCTCTGCTTCTCCAGCCTAAGATGTTGCTTCTTTTGCTTCTGGGAAAGAGGAAACCCCTGTAGAAATGTAGCCATCTCCTCAGGCTCCGGAGAAATGTATTACTTTTCAGCTGTGTCCACTGAGAAGATCTCAGCAAAGATCTGTTCAGCTCCTCCTTGCCCTGCTCTTTCAGCTCTCCCTTGTTTTGTTCACTGGGGGACGTCTCAGCAAGGATCTTCTCTACGCCAGTAAATGAAGATCTTAACACCCAATACTCTTGAGAAAGATTTATTTGGGAAGGAGGAGTCCAGGAGAGTAGCTGCCTCTACCAGGGTGGAGAGAACAGCCCTTTGTTTCTGATTAGGCAGGACAGTTTTTACAGGATGTCTTGGGTGTGGAGTCAACCCCAGGCCCAGGGTTCTACTATCCTGCTCTGTGATTGGTTGGTTTCACAAGTCAGTTGGCCAGGGGCAGAGATGGCTCTGATCTGACTGAGCCAAACTGTGTTTCTTTCTGCCCTGATCAGAGCCATCTTTCCCCAATTCTGGGCTCCAGGGTCAGGGTGGATTTCTTTAGCCAGCCCCCTTTCCCCACAGTGGTATCTAGGTTAATCCTCCTTTTCTTGGTCATACCATATCCTCAATTACTCCAGTTTTACCCTTTAAAAGGAATATAAACAAGGGCTCACGTAGACACATATAAGAATTAAATGGAAATTTTAGGTTGGAGAAAAATTTGTTTTTTAATATCTGATTTTCAATATTGGAATCATGGCCACAGATTTACTCTGTGCATATCTGGGAAAGATGACTTACATCTCACAGGGGTAAAATTTGCTGCCATATAACTGCAGGCACTTTAGCTAATTAGAGTCCTTGGCTGCTCTTAAGCCACAGTCCCCTGACCTAGAGGTGTTCCCTCAGAGGACAACTGTCCCAGGAATGCTGTGGCAGACATATAAAGCTACAAGAGATGGCGGCTAGAGGTGCCTCATCTTTGTGATGAGCAGTACTGCAGCTACACCTCAACGCTGAGAGAGGTGCTCACACTGGGTTGGGGATCTGAACATCACTCTTAATCCTAAGGAACCCTCCATCTGTCAGTAGACTAAATGGGTCACGGGGAAGAAAGGAGAACCGAGGTTCTCACCTTCTTTTTAAAGTAACACACTCTTCTCTTCTGCCTTTTAAAAATACTATACAGAACCCAACTTGGAAAGTAAATAAGAGACAATTTGAATGTTCAGGACTAGAGGAAGTCATCACTTACACAGTCTTAGCCTTGCCTTCTTCATAGAACCCAGGGTTCTCTGGAATTCTGTGTGAAAAAACACTGCTAAGGGGAGGCAGAGACATGCTCCCAATTTGTAAAACGAAATGGGAAAACACATTGTCTAGCCTCTCTAATCATGTTAAATGTAGCATGTCAACTAAGTAAATGCAGTACCAAATAAAAGGAATGGTTAGGAACCTGGCCAGCTCTGTTCCCCTTTACCCCTTTTGAGATGCACTTACTGAGTTACTTTATCCTTGTGTTTTGGCTCAACATCTCAGATTCTACTTTTTCCTTGCTTTTTCAGATTTAAGGATCTAACTTTCAACTTACTCGCTCACCCTAGCTGGGCATTTGTCTACTTCCCACTCACCAAGGAGGAGAAAGACTAGTTACCTGTACATATGCATATATGACTAGAAGATCTAAATGTTGGAGTCTGTTGTCTAAAAATGTTGTCTGAGGGCTAGAGAGACAGACCAGAGGTTGAGTACATGGGTATAATACATGTATATATACATATTTATTATATTAATTTCATTTCATAGAAGCATAAATATTTCCCTGAGTCATTATCAACTCTTGATAAACACCATTGCATAGATTTCCCATCATTTACTTAACTTTCCTTCATTAGATTTAGATAAGGGTCAGCTGTGCAATCATTTTTCAGAAGAGGAGGGAGAGAGAGAGCTTTTAGCAAAGTAGCCTCTATCAAAGACAAATAAATAAATGAATGAACCAGACAGGCATTAGTTTTCTCATGGGGAAGATGCTCATCCCTCAGAAGCATAGCTTTGGTGGAAGGTGGTAATCTTTTCTTTCTTTTTTTCCTCTTTGAAGAAATATAGAGAATCCCAAGGCACCAGACAAATACCACAAGACCACTTGAGTTGTGGAAAGTGAGTATTTTTCCAAAGGTTCATGAAAGCACACTGCTTCTGTTGGGGAGTCTGTGTGGTGAAACTCACTTCCCTTTTCCAGGCCGGTAAGAAGGAGAGGCACAGCCCTGGCCTGGGCCACCTAGGCTGCACCAATGCTGCTTCACTCAGAGGCCCTACTCCTCCTGCCACAGGCCCAGGCACAGGTAGGCCTTCCCCAGCTGCCCCTGGCTGGAGTTGAAAGTTTCTTGCTGAATTTACCACAGACTGAAACAGTCAAGGCAACAGAGGCATGTGGCTTTTTATGAAGACGCTGAATAAAAACCACAAAGCCTGGACATCCAAAGGCTTTGGCAAAAGTGCTGTCTTGTTTTTCTGTCTGTAAATGGATTTGGCCATTGCCTCAAGCAACTGTGAGCTGTGATGAGCGTGGGGTGTGCTGTCAAGAGATAGGAGGACTGGGATGGGGCTTTGTGGGGCCAGAACTAACTCTCCCATCTGCTATACGTCAGCTATTTTGTGGCTTCATTGTGTGAGCTGGAGGCTCCCTAGAGTCCTCAGCTTGGCTCACTTAACTAGTTCTTTTTAACTCATCTCTATTTCTTAGTAGGATACGATTGTGAGTGTCTTCTTTTATGGTCAGCTATACTCAGGAAGCACACGTCCTGTGGTAGACCAAGCCTACTCACTCTTTGATTGACTGTGTTTTCCCTGAACACGTTCTCATGCATCTCGTACTGAGATACCCAGCAGGAGCTCACTTGACCAATCAACTCTCATGTCCAGTTTATACATTCATTCAAAGCCAAGTATTAAGCTGGTTTTTGTGGCTTATTCCTATGAAACACAAACAAGTTACTTTGTCGATTGTTTATCTCTGGCTGCCCCCTTCCCTTCAACCTAATAAAGAGTCTAATTAAGAAGATGTAACAGTTACCTGGAGCTCTTGCAAAAGACTATATCCTTGTCTTCCTCCTGCCTGCCCAGAGACCAGTGTTCATTGCCTTTGGGCCTCCTGAATGGCACAAGAATGAACTAATCAGAAGCAGGAGGGTGTGCTGAGTCCAACAGCAAAGCTCCCATGTTTCCTTGCTGGTGAGGCCAAAATTACAAAAAAAATTATAACACACTTTCTTTTGAGCAACCTTCTTGGTTTGCACAGGATGAAACTGTTTTGGGGAAACAGACTCTTTAAAATTAAAATCAGGACAGTTCTTTGCAAACCAGGAAGGTTACTCACACTACACAGAAGTCAAGAGAAATCAGCTGAGGAGCAGCATGCTCAACCCATTCCATGGACTGTGTTTGTGGAGACAAAAGAAGGAAGATTGGGGATGCAAACTACTATTTTGATGGTTCGTTCACCAAGCACTGACCTGAATGGAAATCTTCCTGCTCAGTGCAGGCATTTGTAAGTTAGTGGCTTTATTGGGGAGTGTCGGGGAGCTTTGGACCTAAGGGCTTGGAGACTTGAATAGAATGAAGCCCCCTTTGCTTCTAGTGTTGCTATAACTTCAATTTGTTCTCTCTTCCAGTGAGAGAACCTTCTCTGGCACCACTGACTCAATGGTCTGAAAGCTCCACTCAGCTGTCAGTCCACTTGACATTTCTAATATCTCCTGCTCACCAGACAGAAATGTGGAAAAGAACCAAGAGTGACATGGGGCATAGCAGCAAAAAACAAAATTGCTGAAAATACAGTTTCAAACAATGGTTGACCAAAGACACAGATAAGTAGATGCTTCTGAAGCTAAGACTTGATGAACATGGGTATCCCATAGTCCCTGGGAACTGACAAACATTTAGAAAAGTAGTCAAAGTTTACTGTTGCAAGGAGAAGCAGAAATGAACACATGAGTTTGGAAGCTGGAGTTTGCTGAGTGGTAAATATGTGATCATTTCATCATCTCCTTTATTGACACATCTCATCAATAGGGAACTTGACAAGATTCTAGGATGGTGTGGTGAATACAGTTTTATCTTTATTGTAATGGTTTATCAACTTCAAGTTGATAATCGGTAAATATGAACTTACAAATTTAGTAGTATGCAACATAGATTGAGTTTAGAAGCCACTGGAAACCCTGCCTAGACAGTATTGGCCAGTCTTTTGAGGTTGTGTAGACTGCAGTAGAAAGTTGTGATATTTATATGTCTCCAGTGGAAGAACAGATAACTTCCAATTGTTATAGTTCCCCCCACCCCACCCCCTGCTCTGCGCCTCCTCCTCCTCCTCCTTCTACATTTGTGACAGGGTCTCACTATGTTACCCAGTTACTGTAGACCAGGCTGGCCTCCAGTTCACTGAGATCTGCCTGCCTCTGCCTCTGAAGTACTGGGATTAAAGTCTCGGGTCACCTCTCCCAGCTATAATTGCTTCGGTAGTGGGTAGATGTTTTCTTTCATATCTCATAGCTGGACACTCAGCCCTTCTTCCGCAGACAAGGCAAAAATTAGCAACAGCCACTGGCAACAAAGCAAGTTTCCTGAACACAGGAATACAACCCACAGGGAGGAGAACTTGGGAAAGTATTTCCTGAAACGAAAGGGCAAAACCACAGAGAACTTTAGAAGCCTCCAAACCTGACAGACTTGACACAATTTATACCAGAACTTAATTAGGAGATATGCTTGTGTATTTTTAGAAACAGAAAGTATGACAGAAAAACAAAGTTGGTCTTTTATGAATGTATTTAGAACCACTTCATAAAGGACCAGGAAAAGCTTGCTTTCTGCCTGAGATTTTAGTGTTGGACTTCTTGATTTTTTCCTTGTTTTGTGTTTGTGAGACACGGTCCACCTTGTAATCCATTCTGGGCTTGAATTCACAGTTCTCTTACCTCAGCATCCCAAGTGCTTGGAGTATAAGCATTCACCAGTGAGTTCAGTTTTAGTGTGTGTGGTTTTCTTTTTAATGTATTTATTTTATTTTATTTTTTAAGTCTTGGGTAAACTTACTTGTCTTGACTTTCAGTGCTGATAATGATCCACCAGAGTTGAGTGTGGCTGGGCAAGGGTATGACTCCCTTAAGAAAATGGGTGAATAGTTCATGTCAATGCTACCTGTAACTTCTGAAATGGGTTGGTGGTTGGTGACAAGACTGAGACCTTACTATCTGTGGCTTTATGTCAGAAGCAACCTTATTAGTCATTCTCAGTGTCACTGCCCATTCTGTGCTGGTAACACATTCTTAATATAATACTAGACTTGACCTTGGCTACCTATCAAATTGTAGAATATGGCTTTTATTTTTCCAGAACAGAGGTGAACAGTGGCCATCTAATTTTGTCTTTTTTTTCCCCTTGTGAAAAATTTCCTGGCAATGTTGCCTCCTTGAAAAAAAAAAAAACCAACAAAAACTGACGTGGGCAAAGGTTAACTTGACGGACTTCCCTGTAGCTCCTCGGTAGTCCTGATATGAACACACACCTATGAGATCTAAAGAAATTTATATTTTAAAATAATTTTAGATTTGTAAAAATTTTGTGTAGATTCTTCTGACAGGTTTCCTGTATTGCAGATCCAGTCTCCTCCATGGTTAAAATCCACATAAGTATGAGATATTTGTCAAAATTCTAACAGCTGGTGTTGATGGGTTATTAATGGAAGACATACTATTGCGGCACCTTCAGTTTCTACCTAATGCCTCCTTCTTGTTCTTGGGATTGTATTTAGGATATCATGCTATACTTCAGCATCATATCTCCTTTCGTGCCTCTTGGCTGTGGTTGTTTCTCATGCTTGGCAAATTCTTGGTCTTGAGCTATACTGATCAGGTTTACTGATTAAAGTGCTGTGAAGTTGGATTTGTCTCATGTTTTTATTGCAATTAGGTTATAGGTTGTTATATAGGTTATGGGTTGTTATATATTGATTTCTTTTTGAGACAGACCATGGAGGGTGAAGAGACCAGTATTCACCACAAGATACCCCAAGACCAAGCTCTCAGTACAAAGGAGATTTATTTGCCCCCAAGGTACAAAGGGCAGGGAATAAGAGACAGACAGTAGACAGAGGATGAGGAAGAAGGGCAAGGGAACAAGGGAGAGGGGGAGGGGTATTTGTCCCAGAAGGGACAAAGGACTGCCTTTGGAAGAGAGGAGATAGACATGGCCTGCAGACAAATGACAATTTATAAAGGTAAAAGGGGAAACCTTGTGTTAGAATAGGGTGTTAAATTTTAATTAGGCATGCTAATTAGGGCAGCCAAAAGGGGACTTTTGATTGCTGGACTTCTTTGATAGCTGGACCTTGGTAGTCAGCCTCAGGAGGAGGAAGCTGACAAATAAGACACTGGATCTTGGTGGCTAGATTTAGGAGGGTAATCTAATGATTTTCAGCAAGGCAGAGGAAATAGTGGAAGGGCAAGGCCTGCGAGAGCCATGTTTGCCATGCTCAGGCTGGCTAGAGTCCCTTCAGAGGTGTGGTGGATTGAAAGAAAGTGGCCCCCAAAGAGAGTGGCACTGTTAGGAGGTGTGGCTTTGTTGGAGTAGGTGTGGTCTTGTTGGATGAAGTGTGTCACTCTGGAGGTGGGCTTAGGTCTCATATATGCTCACACCATGCCCAATGGTTCAGTTCACTTTCTGTTGCCTGCTGATCAAGATGTAGGACTCTCAGCTCCAGTACCATGTCTGACTGCATGCCACCATGTCCCACCATGATGATAATGGACTGACTCCAATTAAAAGTTTTCATTTATAAGAGTTGTTGTGGTCATGGTATCTCTTCATAGCAATAGAAACCCTAACTAAGACAAGAGGGTAAATGCCATTTTTGTCATGTCCTTCCAAGGGTACCTATTATCAGCGTGATTTATGACGTTTGTCACTTGGCTCAGGTAGTACTTGTCAGTTTTTTTCCACTCCAAAGTCACTCTTCCTAACTTTTTTTTCACACTAAACTTTTGGAAGGAAATCACCAAGCACAGCCTATATTTAACTGTGGGAGTCTATACGAAGTATCGTCATAAATCATTTAGGAATCTTCTGTACTGGGTATTTCTCTGATACAATTTTGACAGCTAGAAATGGTTTTTTTTTACAAACTGGGCCTCCCCTTCCATTTTCACAAGGTTGTATCCAAGCTTCAGTCCTTTCCTGGATGTTCTTTTCCTCCAGTGGAATGTGTTGTCTGGTGTTTCATGCTATAGCTCATCAGCACCATCCCTTACCTTGACGAATACAGCAAAGCTCACGTGGTGAACAGAGCTGGTGTGTCATCCTTTTCATGCTGCAGAGTGAAACTGAAACAGAAGTTCTAGAAGCAAATTAGTCTTATCTAGAAAGAACCTAGCTAAGGACACCTTTCTTTAACCAAACATTCTGTAGTTTCAGTGCTATTCGATTTCCCCTTCCTCACTATTAGGATGTTTTTATTTTTTTAATGGTGTTAGAGATTAAACCCATTCTGGGTAATCACTCTATCTAATGAGCTACATCCCTATCACCTTTCAGACTGTCTCAGGGACTTCCTTTGCATGCCTCTCTTTTGATCTACTCCTTATAGGAATGCCTGTCAGGGCCCAGGTTTTGACCCTCATGGGCATTATCTATTTCAAACCTGTTATATAATGATAGCAGGTAAATACTGCCATTAGGAGAATCTGTATTTTCTCTGCACACCTGGAAAAATATTTACTTGACCTTTTTATATGCAGCTTACAGAGACATTTCAAATCCAAGAAAATTATTTTGTGATTTTTTCTTGTTTCTTCTTCCACTTATATTTCCAGTTCTCCTTGTAGTATCCAAGCCCTTCAAACCGAGTCATCTCTCAAAGCCATAGTTTACCAAAGTGTACCCATCCAGATGTGTTAGCTCTGCCTCCCATCAACTTCCTGATCTCAAGTCCTTGTCACATCTCACCCAGATCCCTTCTCACTAATCTTTCCTAACTCTAAGCTTTCTGCCCCTGAAATCTTTTCTCTATATTACAGAACATACTTGTGAGATGTGAAGTTGCTCCCCATCAGCAAGGGCATCATGGTAAGGGCAGATCTCATGCTGTGGCTACTGTTCAAGCCAGCTGAACAGAGCTATGCCTGTCTGTGGACAATGCTAACTGTGAGGCCATAAGCTGTGGGAATAAGTGAAGCTTTCCTGCATTTGGAAGGGTAGAGAGCTCTAGACTGGTCCACTAAATTGAGAAGAGAGTCGAACAATAAAATTTTGTAAGCAAATAATTCAAATATTGAGTACTCCATAGCATTTAAAAGATTCTGAAAAATGTAGGACAAGCTGCTGATTTATTCAAATAATTCATTAATTCATTTTGTTCCCAAAGTGTCTGTTTTTCTTTATTTGCTGGATTGACTGCAAAAATTCTATAATCTCAATACATGTTCTTTTCCACAGCATTTTTCTCACTCTATTTTTAAAGGACTAATATATGTGTATTTTAGGCTGCATGTTCCAATTAAACAGACACAGCAAGTCTGGTCCAATGCTCATCATTCCACCAGGAATATACAAGTGGCCCTTGAATGAAATAGCTGCTCACTTTTTTTTTTTTTTTGTACAGAGTTTTACAAAAGACCACATGGTGACCAACTTTATTCTTTGAATGGCCTCTGGACTGGTGTTAGCATCAGTTAACACCAGGAACAGGACTAGTGACGTTTTGAGCACTTGTACAAAGACTCTTGTGTCTACTGAGTCACTCGATTCTCTGAGAATCAAATCTTCCACATGAGAAGTTGATCCTATTATTATTTCCTATCAATAGGGGAGGAACTGTTCTTATGAGTTTAGGCATCTTACTGGATGTTATGTAAGTGTCACAGCGAGGAGGTGAACTCAAGCAGGTTGATGACACAGGCCATACTGAACTTGGCAACAATGACATAAAAGTCCCTTAGTTTTCTAGCTCTTTAGGGAGCACCTTTACACAGATTGAAGATGCATCCTATGATGCTGGTGATCAGAGCAGACACATACTATCATTCCTGGATGCTCCACAACATGGTGTGGTTTCCACCATCCAATTACCACTGACACCATGCAACTATTTAAGTGGGTACTTGTGTGTGTGTGTGTGTGTGTGTGTGTGTGTGTGTGTGTGTGTGTGTGTATTATGTCAATTGTGTCCTGCCATATGTGAAGGATTGGAATTAAACTCAGATTCTCTGCAAGAGCAGGAGGATATGAACGTGACCTCTGGGCGTCTCTCCAGCCTCATTAGTGTTTACTCATCAGTGGAAGAA